TTGGTTGTATGATGCCTCAATTTCATCAAAGTCATAAAAAAACTGATTTTCAACTGATACCCTATCAATTTGAAAATATATGTATCTCAAACAATGTGCTGCTGGACCAAGTGTGGTCAAAACAAATAAAAATTTAGTATACAACTCTAAACTGGTATAAAAATGCATGGCTGTGTCACGTGTCTTCATTTCAAAATTCTCTGTTAAAAACATAGGCATTGATGGTGTTTGCGTAATTCCATCTGTGAAGCTCAACATTAGCTCAGCAGTTGGTGGTGGACAGTCATAAATCCTTTCTGCAGTATGAATGACTTCTTCAGGAAAACCAACTTTACAATCAAAACTTTCCTCTAGATTTCTACTACAATATTCATCAAGTTTAGTTCTTTTGTTTTCACAGGAAACTGCCCTGATTTTTCTTTTTGCGGACGATTCAGTCTCTTGCTTGGTCCAGGAAAATAGGCTGGGAATTGCAGTAGACTTAAGTCTCTGTATGGTGGGTTTGCGCCCTGAAAAAGGTTATAAAACATTAGTTTTTTTTATAATTAAATGAACTTCCATTAGCAATGTATACTTTGTACTACCTGGCGAAATATTAACTAGATTTATTCATTACAATCTGGATAAAACTATGTTTGCCTGATTCAATGTATGTTATGTAAATCCAAAGGACAAACATATGCAACAATCGTACATTGTTTGTACCTAAATAACTATAATATAGATGAGAGCATGTCATTGTTTTGTTCCTGTTAACATTGTCATTGATATTTTTCAAGAAAGTCTATGAGGCATAGCTTATGCATTCCTGTCATTACTACATTAGCATAATTACTGCTAAAATAATTCTCAGTATGATATACCTCTTGTAAGAAATCATTATAATTGTAGCAATCACCAAAAAATCTCAAACAGATCACATTGAATCGTAATCCAAAAAATTATGACGTCTTGAATTACCCACCCCCTTTTATTCTAAAACGATAATTGCGGTTGTAAACAGACTTTGGTTTATTCGCATGGCGATTACATATATAACTATATATTTCACAAAGAAAATAGAGTTTTACCATGAATAGTTTCCTGCACGTAGTCTTTTTCAGTAAAACGTGCCTTGCAAACAACAGCTGATTGAGATGGACTCCACGATATCATCGTGTTCTCGTCCAATCTGCGTATGGGCCATGGCGTTGATCCAACTTTTCCTTCTTTTTAAGTCATTTGGAAATGCATGTCCTCCTCTTAAATGACATCCAGGTACACAACAACAAGTACTTGGCATCGTTAATTAAAAATATAACTGAAATAGTTGCACAGTGCAGAAACCGGAAGAAGAGGAACAGGATCCGCTACCACGGCGCCACCTATTCAGGAACGATAATTTGCTACTTTATATAACTGCGAAAATAACGTTAGACGGGTTCACGTGCATAAACAGAAATGCGCTTTAAATTGTATAATATAATTCATGTTCAGTCGACCTTTAATTATTATATCAACGACTGAAATGATTTATAAACATCTAGATTGCAGATAACACTCGAAATTAACCCGAGCTCTTTCCACACGGAATTCAAATAATTCTAGTTTGTCAATCGGTTGACTGCTTATAATGCAAAATACTAATATATCAAAAGTTTTTAAAACTAACAAAACACAATGATCGTTTCTCTATTTCCCAATGTAAATGAAATGAAACAAAAAACATTTTATATCGCAATAAGAAGAGGAGCGAATTCAACATTTCCGGATCTACTTGGAGTCTAATGACCCCCCACGTAGATAAGTTGGATATCGCGGAAGGAAGGATTAACCCGGCAGCTAGAAAGGCATTAAAGCACTGCCTTTAAAAAAACTAAGTCCATTTATCAGAAAAATACTGAACATGAAAAAAATATATTTTCAAAAGTTTGCTTCAGACATTATCTCTTAATCATAAACAAGCTTCTGCCAAAGTTTCATAAAATTCTATGTTCTATGAAGGTTTGACAAAGAAATTGATGTGTAACAAACTTTAACCCCAGACTGTATCTTATTGTTAAATGTGAAAAAAAACTAAGTCCATTTATCAGTTTAATACGGAAAAATGAAAATAAATATTTTCAAAATTTTGCTCGGGTTACTTACTGTCTTTTGGTCATAACTAAGCTTCTGTCCAAATTTCCTAAAATTCCAGGAAGGTTTGACAAAGTAATTAATGTTTAAATAAACTGTTAACACAGAGATATGTCTTGTCTTTTTGTACTTTTGATAATGCAAATGTTGAAACTAAAATAGCAATACTTTAACATGTAAGTTATGCAAATATTCAGTCAATGAACCATGACTGAAGGTACATGGCAAAACAATCTCCATGGAAATGAGATGTGCTTATGCTAATACAACTGCATACCAAATACCATAGACTTATCATAAGTCGCTCCCTTTCAACAAACCTAAACACAAACATTTACTTGTAAACTATGTAAAACTTTCAAAGTCAATGAACCATGATGAGGGGGTGGGGCTATATAATCTCCATGGAAACGAGATGTGCTAATGCTTATACAATTGCATACCAATAAACATTGGCCTACCACTAATAGTTACCCTTGAACTGACCTAATCACAAACTAATACATGTAAACTAAGCAAGTTTTAAAATCAATAGACCAGGACTGAGGAGGCGGAGCCAAATAATCTCCATGGAAATGAGATATGCCAATGCTTATACAACTGCATGCCAAATATCATTGACTTACCACTAGTGGTTCCCCATAAACTGACCTAATCACAAACTAATACATCTACACTCAGCAAAAGTTTCAAAGTCAATAGACCATGACTGAGGGGGCAGGGCCAAATAATCTCCATGGAAATGAGATGTGCCAGTGCTAATACAACTGCATGCCAAAGATCATTGACCAATCACTAGTGTTTCACCTTAAACTAGACCCAATCACAAACTAATACTTTGTTGACGCCGCCGCTGTCGCCGCCGGAAACAGCATACCTATGTCTCGCTTTTTGACTCCGTCAAGGCTCGACAAAAACTTTAACCACAAGCTGAACCTAAATGTTCATGCCGCCTACAGAATCTAGGATTGCTATGTCTGGCTTTCGTGAGACAAATGTTCTGGTCTAAATAAATGTTAAGTAGATCTTGTTAACAACCTGAACAGATTTTCTCTATACATAATGGTTTTCAAGATTTATGCAATTATGGGGTTCTTGCATTTTACCCCTGTTCTATTTTTAGCAATGTTTGCCATGCTTTATGCATGGCTGGTATAATGGACACACATTTTAATAAAATGCTCCGCTGGGGCGCAGCTTGATACGACCGCAGAGGTCGAACCCTGAACAGTTGGGGCAAGTATGGACACAACATTCAAGCTTGATACAGCACTGAATTTGGATTGTAATTAAATATTTGACACAGAATAGGTTTCTGACACAGAATGAAAGTGGTCTAAGAACTTAAATTTTTTTAATTTACCTATTCAAACCATATCATTATTATTTGCTTTTATATATAAATCAGAAATAACCAATTTAAAATGGAAAATTCTAAAGAAAAAAAAAGGAAAAAAAATCCCCCCCCCAAAATTTTTTGAACCCCCTTATGATTCATCACCCCCAAACTCAATCCCAGCCTTCCCTTTGTGGTATTGTACCTTACAGAACAATTTCAGAGAGACCCATACACTTGAACACAAGTTATTGTCTGAAAACTAGAAAAATGCTTGTTTTTTGGCCCCTTTTTGGCCCCAAATTCCTAAACGTTTAGGGCAATTACCCCCCAACTCAAACCCAGTTTTCCCTTTGTGATATGGAACCTTGCAGTACAATTTCATAAAGATCCATACACTTACACACAAGTTATTGTCCTGAAACTAGAAAAAAGCTGGTTTTTATGCCCTTTTATGGCCCCTAATTCCTAAAATATTGAGGGAATTACCCCCAAAATCAATCCCAGCCTTCCCTTTGTGATATGGTACCTTGCAGTACAATTTCAGAGAGATCCATACAGTTGAACACAAGTTATTGTCTGGAAACTAGAAAAATGCTTATTTTTGGCCCCTTTTTCCTAAGCATTTTGGTCAATTACCCCCAAACTCAATTCCAGCTTTCCCTTTGTGATATGGAACCTTATAGTACAATTTCATAAAGATCCATACTCTTACACACAAGTTATTGTCATGAAACTAGAAAATTGCTTGTATTTTGCCCCTTTTTGGCCCCTAATTCCTAAAATTTGGAGGCAATTACCCCCAAAATCAATCCCAGCATTCTCTTTGTGATATGGAACCTTGTGATACAATGTCAGAGAGATCCATACACTAACACACAAGTTATTGTCATGAAACTAGAAAAATGCTTGTTTTTTGCCCCTAATTCCTAAAATTTGGAGGCAATTACCCCCAAAATCAATCCCAGCATTCCCTTTGTGATATGGAACCTTGTGGTACAATGTCAGAGAGATCCATACACTTACACACAAGTTATGTCTGGAAGTTACAAACATGCTTATTTTTGGCCCCTAATTCCTTAACTGTTGGTACCATAACCCCCAAAATCAATCCCCACCTTCCTTTTGTGGTATTGAACCTTATGGTAAAATTTCATTGAGATCCATTCACTTAAACTAAAGTTAGAGTGTGAAAACTAATGTGTCTTCGGACAACGACGACGCCAACGTCATACCAATATACCACAAAAAAAATTTTGCGGTCGTATAAAAAGTAGACAAACTTAGGACGATTGTAGCCAAGTTTGGTCAAGACACATCTGGTGGTTTCAGAGAAGATTTTTTTTAGATGCCAAGTAATAGCAATAGCTCACATTGCCCATCAGTGTTGCACAAAATTTGCTCCCAAGACTGAGACTAAAACTTTCATCCAAAATGAAAAGCATTAAAAACAAGACAGAATCACTAGATTTACTATATATAACACTGTGAGGGACAGTTTACCAGGACTACATTGACAATTCATATAATAGAAAATAAGGTACTGTGATTGAAACAAAAGTATTTTACTGACAAGGCAAAATTTAGTACAAGTTAGTCAGAACATAAATTATCATACACAATCTAGCACTGGAAATCAATTTTAAGTCAAATCAATTCTGGGTTTTCATTTGAACATGTTTTTTTCCCTTCGGATATGGAATGTAATCAGTGGTATTTTTCAAGTCGGTCAATGACTAGTTTGTACTGTTCTTCAAATTCTTCATAAGCTTTTTCTAAATAAGCATGTCTCTGTTCTAAAGGCCATGAGTTCATGGTAGCTGACAGTTCATTGGGTTGTAAAACTTGTTCTAGTTTCTTATTATCACGTCCATTTTTCTGAAATGGAGCATTTAATCTTTTCTTCACATCTAACCTATAACTTCTGTACTGCTCCTTGTCGTTGACATTTGTTGCTTTTAAACGCAGTATCTCATAGATTCTTCTTGTCTGTCGTTTAGATAATTTCAATTTGTTTTTCGCATCTTGTACCATGTTATCAGAAAAACCCAGTTGCAATTTATCTGACTGAAAACTGGCTAAATCCATACAGTTTCTTGCATCAACATAATCTCTAACTCGCTGAAAATTCTCAGATGGATCCTCAACAGTTATATCCTTAATTTCAGATCTTGAGTAACATGTATTGTAAAATGTCTGCAGTAGCTCAGCACCATGGCCCTGTTTCTGAAATGGCGGCAGAATCAGTACCTGACTGACACGAGGTCGCTTTTTCTCTGGATATGCATAGTAATTGTAAACTGTCATGTAGCCAGCTATAGCATGCATGGGATTCTCATTTACTTTGTATTTTTCAAACAACAGATAGAAGTGCCATCTACTATCATCTACATCAATGACTGATGCCCCATCAATGAAGAAGAGTATAAATGTCTGTAATCGTTCATGATACTCTCTGAAACCTGGAGTCTCAATATCTGTGTGGTAGATCTCAAAATTTCTCAAATCATTTCCCTTTGAGACTTTATATGAATGTAGCATCTCTCCATATGGTTTGAAAGAAGCATCTTTTGGTAATAACCTTGTGAATTCATCTTTATTTGTAACAAACCCTGGAGGTATTTCTTTGGCTACAGTTTCCATCACGTTATCTGGCTCTATACCATCAAACAAGTTTGGTGAAATTTTCTCAAAATACTGCATATTGACATAGGTTGTCAGTCTGGATGCACTGTAAAACATCTCCACAATAAGATCTTTGTAACCAAATATTGATTCTTGCTCACCTGTAATTACAAAATTACTCTTATAAAAAATTTCATAACAAAATATCTTGAATCAGGTGAAATAGATAAAGGTCTATTTTATAGTTTGTTCTCATGTTGTACTGTTACACTACTGTCCCAGGTTAGGGGGAGGGTTTGCGTGCCTTCAAATTAGTTTAACCCCGCTACATTCTGTATGCACCTGTCCCAAGTCAGGAGCCTGTAATTCAGTGGTTGTTGTTTGTTGCTGTATATCATATTTGTTTTTTGTTCATTATTTTGTACATATATCAGGCTGTTAGTTTTCTCGTTTGAATTGTTTTACATTTGTCATTTCAGGGCCTTTTATAGCTATGCGGTATGGGTTTTACTCATTGTTGAAGGCCATACAGTGACCTATAGTTGTTAATTTCTGTGTCATTTGGTCTTTTGTGGAGAGTTGTCTCGTTGGCAATCATACCACATCTTATATTTATATGGAGCAACATTTGCTTACCTGCAGTGACCTGAATAAGGAAAAAGGTGCTTAACAACTTAACATAATATACAAATGTAGCGATTATTTTTTGTCAACAAATATTTCATGAGCAAGACAGTCTCTTGTCTTATCATAACTTGTTGAAATTTCAGCTTCATCTGTTGAAAATAAAACATTGTTTTTCTAAATTTTTATTATTGAACTGGAAATCTATCTTTTATAATAGATTGGCAATATAACACTGTGTCTGCACACACGGTGTCACAGGATAATAAATTGGCAACATAACACTGTGTTTGCACACTTAGTGTCACAGTATAAAAATTGGCAAATTTATAAAAGTTTCAACAGGACGAAAAGGGGCTAGCTGAGCTTTTTTCCTGTTTCTTAGAGAGTAGAAATACATTTTATATATCTGACAAATTTATTTTAGGCCATGGAAAAAGGAATATTGGTTTCCCCTAATATATGAAAATTATTAAGGCCCAGCAGGCAGGAAAAACTTTTTATTTTATTTTATTTTTTAGTGAAAAATCAGTTTCGTTCTATAGAGAATGTTGTTGTTAACCAGACAGTAAATTCTTATTTTACATTCTATATTGTGGTATAAACTATGTGAAACTAAAGAATGATGATGATGATGATGGATGGCTGCTAAACGTCCAGCAGCAAATTTATATGCATATTCAGGAAGATTTGATTTGATTTGATTTTTGGTGTTTTAACGCCACTTTTAAGCACAGCTTTTGGGCTATTTCGTGGCGGCCAGTTTTTATTGGTGGAGGAAGCCAGAGTGACCGGAGAAAACCACTGACCTTCGATAGGAAAACTGACAATCCTAGTCAATTAAGATTGGAGTCGATAACACCTGCACGAGCGGGGTTCGAACTCACAACCTCAGTGTTGACTGGCTAGTGATTACTGTAGTAACTACTTAGACCACTCGGCCACCGAGGCCCCCATATTCAGGACGAGAACACGTTAATGTAATATGAATATTAACCCTATTTTGTAATAGACCGACACACTTAGCCGGATTTTGACAGTGCTAGTTCACAAGGTAGCAGTCGGCAGGAAGACATGTCACATTACAAGGACACATTATTCTGACTCCGAGCCAACCAGTCTGCTCTTGCTCCTAATTGTCGCGTGCTTAGTGGAGAAGCAGCAAATACCAATTTTAAAGCCTTTGGTTTGAGCCGGTCAGGGTTCAACAAATCCACAACCTCCTGCACTTGAGGCGAACACGCTACCATGAGGTATAACCAGTATATTTTAGATGCAAGAATGTTAAAATGTGGAATTCAAATAATTCTTATAATTCAGTATTAGTAAAGATATTAAGCACTAGCTTAAGAAATAATTTACTTGATAAATAATTAATATAAATCTTCACAATTTTTGATAAGTGTAAAGCAAATTATTATGTAATCCCCTGAGGGTTAAATGACAATAGAGAATTAAGGATTAGAGAAGTGTTATATATACAAAAGGGATTTTTTACTTTTTAAGATAATTTAGGTTATGTCACAAAGACTTAATATTTGGGAAAATAGATAAACTAGCGTTATTATGTAAAGTAAATATATTGAGTATCAATGTTATGTAAATTGAATAATGAAAAACAATATATATTAGTTGACCATGTAGTTAGGGACAGTTGTGTTTTAGACTTTGATTTAGACAGTTATTGGATTGATATTAGACATGTTATTATACTACGTCTCATGAACTTATGTGATTATTGTGATTGATAAATTATACTGTATGCTGAATTAATAAACAATTATATATAGAACTTGAATCTGTGTTACGTTAACATGTATTCATATGAAAGATACCAGCTAGTTCCCCCAACCTAGCAAGATGAGTAACCAGGTCAGGAACGAGCATAGTACTGGCCTTGGTTATACACCAAGGCAGTCAACTAAAGAATGATAATTGAGCAGTGTTGATATGTTTTTAAGATTATCAGACAATTTCAAAATGCATCATTGAAAATTGTCAATAGAAACAGAAGCAACCCTTTTTTTTCAATAACAAAAAGAAAAAAAAGAATTGACCCCGGATGGTAAAAACAGAACCAGCAGGGTTAAGGGAAACAAACAATAATTTTTGCAAGTCCTTATGTACTAGTCCAAGGTTGCTCTTACGTCCAATGGCAACCGCTGTTTTGCCAGACCCCAGCTTGTCTGGCAAAACAGCTGTTGGACGTCTGAGCAACCTCAGCCTACTTATGTACATATCTTGTTTTCATCCTGCAATAAACTCTTGTAGTTGATTCAATCCAAATAGATTTTCAATTTTTCAAAGAAATCGGCATAGTTTTAAATATTATGCGGACCACGAAGAGGACCCCAAAAATGAATGAGTAACACTAACAGGAAACTTTATTAGTACAAATACAAATAATGCAAAAATTTATTTGTGTACCTTATATTTGATCCGCAGTTGGCCGATAAATTTACAGGATAAATACCTTTATTTAACACCAATAAAGGAATTTTGGGATATTTTTACAGACATTATTTTATATGGATGCATACAGATTAAAATTAAAGATAAATCTTCTTTTTATTGTAAAATCATATATTAATTGTACATAACGGTGGCGGTACAGAAGTCATTTTTATTGATATATTACTAAGTATTCATAATTGGATTAGACATTCATTGCGTATTATTATATTGTGTGGTGAAGGATATTAGCCCCACCGGACGCAATTACGACTGGACACAATTACGAACGATTTCAAATGTTTGCCCTCTGAAATCATATTCAATTATGATAATTAATAAATGTTTCTATGTATAAAAACCCTATTTAAGTTCCCTTGTTTTCATGATAATACAATTCATGTGCACTTGGTGAATGTTGATGACGATGACAAAATCATTCTGAAAATATTAAATGGACGACACTCTCGCCTGGAAATTATATTAAAAAAATCATTAAGGTAAGTGCATATTGCCTTCTTTTGTTAATATATAGAAGGAAAAATATCTCCTGATTCTGTTCATATGTGTGATGTCTTTTATCTTGCCCAAATAACCCAAATAATTGACGTTTTTTTCGACTCTTGTGACTTTATTTATTGTCAAAAGAAAATACGGTAACTTTATTGAAAAGTCCAGAGAACTCAGAATGAAATGTTGACCTATATAAAAAAAATCATAGATGAATGATAGGTTCACCAACGAAATGGAGAAACTTGAATTTAGTGCTCCTTAAAAGGAGGAACTTACATAAAAACAAAACAATTCCGAAATCTTTCCTTTACACATACGAGACATTTCGTCTGCAACCACTGCTGAAGTATTTGAAGTAAAATACAAGCTTGCACATCTTATTTTCCTCTGGAAATGTGTTTGAGATTAGATTAGAGTATGTTTTATCAAGGAATTGTATATTTAAAAGGAATGGAAACGCGGCTCGAGATCAATCGGGATACCCGCAAAGCTATAATCCATGTCTGTCTCAGTCGGAAGTATGATGAATAATATAAAGAATCATAAAGAATCATGACGGAGGTCCATTTCCTGTCATATAGATCGGTCTTTTAATTCACGGGGTCATCTTGCTTCAGAAGATATAAAGGAGAGAGAAACACAAAATCAAGAATAAACTTTTAATCCATGAAAAAGGCAAGGCCTTAGGTATCATTTTAATGCCTCATCAAACATACGTTTGTAATATTGTATTATGTAAATTCTCATTAAAATAGACCTTGGTCTTGAAACTTGAGCGAGTTTCATCCGGATTACAAAACAAAAAATACTGTGTTTTGATTTTTTTTCTAAAAGCTCGACAACTACGAAGTGCAAAACAAAACAGTTGATATCATTATGAAGCTGAAACCTTATTCTATCATTTAGCCCATTTTTTAAGTTTCTAGTAAAATTTCTGAATTTTCTACGATTTTTCGAAATTTCAGTTTTGAATTTCATTATTCTGTCAAAATATGTCTATCAATCAGGGAGTATACTACAATTTCTTTTAAATATTGGAAAGTAGAAAGAACAAAGTGAGAAAATGAGATATCTTTTAAAGAAGGAATATTTTCCTACAGATTGGTCTAAATTACGAACGCTAAATGTAATTGGTACAATGTAAATGATTTTATTTCGAAACATGTTGAAAATTTGAAGTAGTGCGTCAATAAATACATCGACACTTCGTATTTTGGTAAGGGTTAAATAACTACTTGAAATAGATGTGACATTGACATACAACTTAAAAGCTTAATCTTTTTTCTATCACATAGTGTTGGTTTTATGAAAATGGTGATAAAAACGAATTTGCTATGATTTTTCAAAATCCCATGTTTATAGTTCACATTGACGCCATTTTGTTCAGTCAAGTTCCACACCGACGAAGTCGGAAATTACAGGCAAGAAATGTATATAAGACTTCCGATTGAGATTGATTGTGCCGTTTTATACACGATTTTAATAAATTTATCTTTTGTCAAATACTATTTTTATACTTAATCGTTGTTTGGTATTGTAGTTTGCCATTATTAAGCTTTACAGCAAATTACCACAAGCTTAAAAGCAAAACAGTTCCTTCCTTTTTTTGCTAGAAGAGCAGTAGTCTAGAGGTCGCAAAATATTCCTTCGGTGTTAAAATAAATAATATGCGAATGTCGGAAAGTTTTAACTGTTTCTAATTAAAAAAATTATTGCACCATGGCATAATTTAGCATTTATTAACAGGTGAGCTCGCGTGATTTCTTTTTGACACCTTAAATCAGGGACAGCCTATAGTTAGTACAAAAATGTACACTGTTCCTGCTTAAATATATATACGACAAAAATTAGCTGTTCAATAATACATGCTAGATTATACCTGCAAATTTGATATCCCGTACCGGTATTTATTATAACACCTATTATCTAAGTTCTTTTATCTAGACAAAATACTACATCTGTTCACGTACTTCTTCCTTTATACTTTTCTATACCAGTCATATTCCAAAATTGAAAAGTTATTTTTTAACTTTTTGCATTACCTTAAATCTTTTTAAAAACTCGTATAATGTCAGATTTCAACTATTAATTGATCTTAATTGTTGCATACCATCGTGAAATATCAAGAGGAGGTACAAGAAAAAAATGTTTTTCAGAAGTAACTTTGTTTAAGGTTGTATTTTTTGTTTATTTCATTTAAGGAATTGTATATCTAAATAGACAATTTCTTGTTTCATTTCATGATTAAATGACCAAGTTCGATAACTACTGCCAGATAAGTAATGAGCCAGTTAGAGCGACGGGATGTAATTAACACACCACCCAAGTCAGAGATGCATCATACAATTTTCTTTGAAGTCGGCCACGTTTCCATTCCTTTTAAACATATAATTCCTTGGTTTTATCAATCTAGACTGTTGTCATTGTTTTCTTCTGCAAGATATATTAATATAGTGCTGTTCGGAATTGCATCCATATTTGGCTCACTTGACCCATAAAACCAGGTCAAGCAAATCTTACTAAAGTATCCTAACGTGAATAGAAAATTATGTGGGATATGATGCAAAATGGAAAGCCTCCATACATCTTAAATTCTATGCCTATGGAATAAACAATTCCAGAAAAGTAGTCTACATAAAAAAATATTAATCACAGTTCAAAAATCGTTCGTAATTGTGTCCGGTGAGGCTATATATATTCAACTCCATTGGAGGGTGCCTTCATTGGCAGAATTTATCTCGATACAGTCTTACAGATACAAGGACCTGAGTATTTTTGAAAGGAAATATGTTTTTACACACCGAACAGCTGATGGGTCATCTCTGGATGAAATGTAGTTGAATCATCTTCCAAATCCGATTTCTGTCTCACAAGTTTAAAGTGGATTACATCATTTGCGCAGCATCTAAATGATTCTAATCGGTTTTTTAATAGCGAGTTCATTGTCATACCCGCCATATTGGTTACGTAGCTTTTAATGTAAAACCCCGAGATATTCCATTTTTAGCGGGAATGAACAGAAAGTAAAAAATCCCAAGATATTCCGATTTTTGCGGGAAAATGGCGACAATTGGAAATTGGCAAGCTGCTACAGAAAGTATTTGGAAAACAAGCTCTATAGATTTCATCGATCATTTAAAAAGTTTAAAAGACGAAATCGATAAAATAGTATTTATGCACAAGATGGGTTACATTGGGTAATATGTCAATGCAAACCTTTACTGTAGTAAAGTACCTATTTAAATGTAAAAAAAAAAAAAAAATTATTATACCTGACAGGGTTAAGACCTTGACCCATTTGTCATGGGTCAATGATCAAAGCTAAGGTCAATTCTCATTTATATATAGCAGTCATCGATGGGAGGTGTTATGGTATATCCGCAGTTGGTAAATTTGTCCACATGTCAACATGTGAGATATTGTAATATATAGTTTAATGTTTTGTAAATATTAACATGATTAACCTCTGGTTAATTTGACTATAACTAAAGTGTTGGATAATCGGTTAAAATTACCAAACAATTATCTATTACTATTGGTTGACAACAACCAACCGACTATTGGTTATAATCTCATTACTAAAGCTTGCTCTTTTTTTATATGAAATCATTCATTCAGCCACATTGTACATGTCTTATGCATATAATATATTCCAAATCATTTGACGGTAGTAAACACCCAAGTATATCTAACTTATAAATGTCGATTTCCGGCACATATAAAAAATATAAATGATATTACACAATACTGGTATGCTTTGACTCTGAGGCTAATTAACAAGTGATTATAGCTTAAATGAATAATCAACGTGTGACAGGATATTAATTGCTTGATATGGCTTCTGTTAATGCCACACACTAAGGATAGTTAAAAGTAAATGCCGGCATTGATAGAAAAGTGGAATGTTGCCAAAACCTTGATTGGAAGGTTTTGATACTGAAAAAAAAATATTTTTTAAGAAAAGCCTGGCAAAGGAAAATGGCTTAAAGTTCACCATTTGACACTCCAATGCTGACACAGAAAACCTTCATCATACATGTCATATGCTAAAGAAGATCCAAACTGACAACAGGGAAAACTCAAAGACTCAAAGACAATTCACAGCCCCCCCCCCCCCCCCCCCCCCCCCCCCCCCCCCCCCCCCCGCCAGTGTTAAGATTAATCAATTTTACAGATTGTTACCAGTACAAGCCAGAGCCAAGTTTTTAAATTTTAAATTTTTTTGGAAACATGTACATACAGTAAGTGTTTTATCTTAAAGAGTGTCAGGTCATTTAGTTACAATAATCAATAAAGCAGGCAAGACATGATTTCAGTATATAGGTTAATGTACAGCCTGAACAGAAATGGTAAAAATATGAGAAGGTTATTCAGGATAAGTAAGCATTAGGCAGACAGGCAACACATTCAAATTGATTTTGAAGTTGATCACAGTACCACTATTGGTAAGGCCAAAAACAAAAAGGACATATTCATATGGTTAATAACAGTACTAACGGTAATGTTTATCAGATAAAATTTGTTTTCCAGAGATGTATCTTGGCTTCAGTTTTATATGGAATCGTGTGGAAAACTGCATTTAAAATCTCCCGAAAAATCAATACAGCACAGAAACTATGGAAATAAATTGTTTCAAGAGAAGAAATATAAAGATGCATTGGAATTTTATACACAGGTACATTATAAAATTAAAGCTATGTCATGTATGCACATGATGTATCTATGTGCATACATATATTTAATTCTAACTTTGTTATCATGCTTTTGCAATATGCAGCCGAGAATAGAGAAACTACAATGTATTTGAATCATAATTAAATATCAAAACAAAATAATTTGTTAAAATTGATGGCTTTATGAAATGGGTTCACTCAAAATTCTAAAAGGTAAATGTTTTCACTTTTCTTTTTTCTCTGACATTCATGTTGTCATTAAGAATTATACAAAATGATATGTAGAGGTAAAATTAGTGAGAGTCAGACTCAAACTCACCAACAAAAGTTATCAAAAATAAATTAAACATCTAGAGATATATGTTAAGGTTAGGATAATTAATATGTATTTTTCATTTCTTCATTTATTTTATCGGTTAAAAATTTCAAAACTTAGGCAAAATGACCTACTTCTCTGACCTGTTACATAATAAATATATGAGCATTTTTCGTAGCTTTTTGAAACAAGTATAAATATTTTATATTCTATATAATAATTGATATGCAAGTAGATATTATTTAAATCATAAGTTTAGTAAAATTTGAAATGGTAATAACATATATGATTAAGTACAAATGTTGGAATAGATAATAGAAGTAAATTGTTTTAACTATTCTAGAGTGTAATGGAAGCACCAGATAAAAACAGAGATCTTGGTCTAGCTTATGGAAATCATTCAGCTGCCTGCTTCCACTTAGAATTGTATCAGGTAATTTATATAAACCTTTATTTATTCTGTATTATTATCCCCAGCACAACACGGAGAAGTGGACATAGAAATACAGGGCTACCATTCAGTCTTGCAATCTCTCTCATGAGTACAATTCTTGTCAGATTTTTATGAAATCTATATCAAAGGTTTATTTCAGCAATGTCTTGTTATGAGTTTGAAAAACAGTGCAGATCAATTAATTTTAAATGGATGTAAAAAAAAATTGTACAATTTTTGTATGATCCTGTGTACCGGTAATTATTTCCTCGGAAATGAATTTATGCACAGGTTATAACCTCTGGTGAAACCCAAACTTATTTGATTCATAAATTAGTTTGTATTTCTTGTGATCTTCTGAAATGTGTTGTGATCCAAACATCAGATGTTTAAAGTAATAAAAGCAAAATATTGGATGCTTAGGTAAGGTAGACAGTGTTAATCTCCTGTAAGCAAAAAAAAGATTCTTTAATTGTATGAAATTGTATAAATTCAGCAGTCTGACAAGTTATGATTATCACTTTTTTAATTGTTCATACATCGAAAAAGCAATCTGGAAAATGTGTTTTTTTTCTTCACATAGATACACATAGTTCCCAGATATTTGAAATGAGCATAGGCAAGATTAAATACATTATCCAATCAGTTTTATACATATGGTCTAAAAACATTTGTCTCATATCAGTGACTGAAGTTCATTTGATACAAGGAAGAATTGATTTTAGAGGTAAAGATAAACCGCAATCAAAACTCAATTGTCACTGGCTTGATAGCTATATCTAGCCATTTTTCAGACCTCCTCTTTGTGAATATACACAATGCAGTGAGGTGAACATTCTTTTAGATTTTATCCATGTTTTTGTCAAGCACTTTATAATATATAGTAAGGTATTCAAGTTACCAAATGATGTGTATGTGTGTAATAGTAAGGTATTCAAGTTACCAAATGATGTGTATGTGTGTAATAGTAAGGTATTCAAGTTATCAAATGATGTGTATGTGTGTAATAGTAAGGTATTCAAGTTACCAAATGATGTGTATGTGTGTAATAGTAAGGTATTCAAGTTACCAAATGATGTGTATGTGTGTAATAGTAAGGTATTCAAGTTACCAAATGATGTGTATGTGTGTAATAGTAAGGTATTCAAGTTACCAAATGATGTGTATGTGTGTAATCATAATTGTCAAGAAAATCATTTTATTTACAATTACATAAGTTCCAAATAGTAGAACTGGTACATAAAGTAAACATCTATATGTTCTACCTACAGTTTTGATATATACCTTTGCTTAATACAATGCAAAATGAAATCAATCTTTACACAGGCAAATTTTGCTCGTATGAATGTCACACAAAATTCACCCCAAATGAGCTTATATGGGAAACTCACGTTAAAATTTACATGTGAATTGAGATTCACATGAATTTTAGGTGAACTTGACCCCCAAAAAATAGTATTTTTCATGATTTTAATTAAATTTGAAAATTTAGATGTTTTATAAATTATATCTTTATTTTGAAAAAATTCATGCGAATTTCACGTGAGTTTCACGTATAAGTTCATTGTAGCTGAAATTCATGTGAGTGAAAAATCCCTGTGGACCCCTCATCGCTCCCATTCACTTTGATTTGATTTGTTACAAGATCAATCAGTGCAGTTTGAAAAATTTTACTCCCAAAAAAGATGTAGTTTAATTCTTCTTTTTGTGTGATTGCATACCACTATGTGTTCTGTTTTTTACAGGAGACTATAGAATCCATCAAATTAGCATTAGATAACCAGTATCCAGAACCTACATCATACAAACTGTATCTGCGATGGGCTCATTGTCTATATTATACTGGAGACATGAAACAAGCAAGCAACAGTAAATATTAAATATATTTTCTTTTCATTAAAGTGAAGAATGATTGTATTTTGCCTTTTTGTTCTGTCCAATTTTGGTACCAATTTAATATACAATTTTAAATGGGACAGCATTTAGCAATTTATACTGTTAACCTTTATGTACTGTGAATACATGATACAGTCAAACCTTGTTAAGTCGAACACGAAGTGACCGGACTAAAGTATTCGACTCAATCATGGTCGGGTGAGTTGTTAAAAAAATTGGAATAATATTGAGAATGGAAATAGTGAATGTGTCAAAGAGACAACAACCCGACCAAAGAACAGAAAACAGCCGAAGACTACCAATGGGTCTTCAACACAGCGAGAAAATACTGCACCCAGATGTGGGCTTCAGCTGGCCCCTAAACAAAAATGTGTACTAGTTCAATGCATGAAATATGGTGTGATATTTGTGTAAACTAGATATTTTGAACATTCTGCCTTTTTCGATATGACAATTTATGATCGTGTATTCAAACTCCATATTGTTTGGTACATCATAATAATTAAACACACAAGTACAGATACAAAACTTTCACAAATAAAACCAATACAAAACTATTTACAAAGGTCAGTTACAATAAATTATGGAATCACTCGCAGAACAAAACAAGCCCTGAAAGGTCACTGATGATCACAATTATTGTAAATTTGTCATAATTGTCTTAATTATCCAAATAATTATAATAATTAATGAATTTTAATTCAAACAAGTCATTTAATCTCAGCTGGGTCATTTGAATTCAATTCGTTTTTAAATCAGGCAAAATATGTTCGTCACACTAAAGTTCAGCTTCGACAATCAACTGGTCACCATAAACATGTCATTTTAACTATTATACAAACAAGTATGTTTACACAGCTTTAATCACTTCTGAAAACGATGAGGATAAATAAGAAAAATATCCAATTTGAATTTTAATCTAAAGTCTGCATTTTTCGAAATTTCTTACTTTCAAACTTCAAGACATTGAGGTCAATTTACATTACTTTTCCATTGACGGGACTATAAAATTTATTCGACTTAACTGAGAATTCAAATCAAATGAGTTTGACTCATCAGAGGTTTGATGAAACAGGAATCTGGCAGGACGGAGCAATAACTTCGACTCATCCGAGTTTTCAACACAACAAGGTTCGACTGTAATAAAATTTTGAACCATTGAGAGAAATCAGTATTGTCTCACCAAAACTATTTTTGATTTGTTGAATATTTTCATTTTTATAACACATTTTTACAGTAACATATTTACCAGCTGGTTAATTGAACAATTACTTGTCAGAAACTATTTTAAACATGTCCGAAACATTATAGAAATAAAAGATTTCAATGATTTATTGTATTCAGTTTTTAAAAGATTCCTTTTAATTTACTAGAAGTAAATATTGCAAAAAACCAAGTTTTGGAAAATAAAGAACTGGAAGAAAAAAGAAAAGGTATGTATAATCCAACATAGAATGTAGCTTAGGTTCATCAAGAGAGATGACTGATAATAATCTGAGAAAACATTACAATCCCAAAGGCTCGCAACTAAAAGAGTTTATATTGAATGTATACAATGAGAGCAAATCAAAAATGCTGTATTAGTAATTAGTAGTCCTTAGTAATTAAACAGTTGTTAATAATTTTTTATAAAGCTTTTGTTGTTTGTTTACTTAATTGCTATAACCAATTACAACAAACTTGTATAAGGACATAGTTTTCTTTGTGAAAACAAAGTTGATTTTCAGATAATTAATTCCAGAGTCATGAGACTTTACTTGTCACAAATGGGCAACGTAAACATATTTATTCTAAAACCAGTTGTTGGCATGACACGGGTTATGTTCTTCTCATATATTTTATGATGGTATAATACTAAACCCCTAACAGGAGGGATTGTGCCTGATATTCATATGATGAAGACATAATCTTTCAATCAGTTTAATTGAGGTCTGGAGCTGGCATGTCAGTTACTGCTAGTAGTCTGTTGTTATTTATGTATTATTGTCATTTTGTTTATTTCTTTTTTTTCCTATTCTGACATCGGACTCGGACTTCTCTTAAACTGAGTTTTACTGTGCATACTGTTGTACGTTTGTTTTTTCTACATTGGCTAGAGGTATAGGGGGAGGGTTGAGATCTCAAAAAACATGTTTAACCCCGCCACATTTTTGCGCCTGTCCCAAGTCAGGAGCCTCTGGCCTTTGTTAATCTTGTATCATTTTTATACATATATTGGTATGTCGTTGTCGTCGTTGTCCGAAGACACATTGGTTTTCGCACTCTAACTTTAGTTTAGGTGAATGGATCTCTATGAAATTTTACCATAAGGTTCAATACCACAAAAGGAAGGTTGGGATTGATTTTGGGGGTTATGGTACCAACAGTTAAGGAATTAGGGGCCAAAAAGGGGCCAAAAATAAGCATTTTTGTAACTTCCAGACATAACTTGTGTGTTAGTGTATGGATCTCTCTGAAATTGTACTACAAGGTTCCATATCACAAAGGGAAAGCTGGAATTGAGTTTGGGGGTAATTGCCCAAAATGTTTCGGGATAAGGGGCCAAAAAGGGGCCAAAAATTAGCATTTTTCTAGTTTGTAGACAATAACTTGTGTGTACGTGTATGGATCTCTCTGACATTGTACCACAAGGTTCCATTTCACAAAGGGAAAGCTGGGTTTGAGTTTGGGGGTAATTGCCCTAAAAGTTTAGGAATTAGGGGCCAAAAAAAGGGCAAAAAACAAGCATTTTTCTAGTTTCATGACAATAACTTGTGTTCAAGTGTATGGATCTCTCTGAAATTGTACTGCAAGGTACCATACCACAAAGGGAAGGCTGGGATTGAGTTTGGGGGTGATGAATCATAAGGGGATTCAAAAAATTTGGGGAGGGGGATTTTTTTTTTTTTTTTTTTTTATTTTTTTCTTTTTTTATTCTTTTAAAATTTTCCATTTTAAGTTGGTTATTTCTGATTTATATTTAAAAGCAAATAATAATGATATGGTAGGAGATACACACCAAACAGGATGTGTAAATTATTATATAATAAGTATTGTGCAATAGCAAGAAATTTTCAACTGCACAGTATTGCACAATAGCAAGAAATCTTCAATTGCACAGTATTGCGCAATAGCAAGAAATCTTCAATTGTACAGTATTGCTCAATAGCAAGAAATATTCAATTGCACAGTATTGTGCAAAAAAAGATACTTCGTATAAATTGCTTATTTCTTGACCAATTTCAATGGGGTTTTTTGGCCCCGTTTTTAAATTGGTCCACATTGAGGTCCAAAGGGTCCAAAATTAAACTTTGTTTGATTTCATCAAAAATTGAATTATTGGGGTTCTTTGATATGCTGAATCTAACCGTGTATTTAGATTCTTAATTTTTGGTTTCGGTTTTCAAATTGGTCTGCATTAAGGTCCAAAGGGTCCAAAATTAAACTTAGTTTGATTTTACCAAAAATTGAATTCTTAGGGTTCTTTGACATGCTGAATCTAAACATGTATTTAGATTTTTGATTATGGGCCCAGTTTTCAAGTTGGTCCAAATCGGGGTCCAAAATTAAACTTTGTTTGATTTCAACAAAAATTGAATATATGGGGTTCTTTGATATGCTGAATCTAACCATGTATTTAGATTTTTGATTTTTGGGCCCCGTTATCAACTTTGTTCACATTGAGGTCAAATGGGTCCAAAATTAAACTTTGTTTGATTTCATCAAAAATTGAATTCTTGGGGTTCTTTGATATGCTGAATCTAACCATGTATTTAGATTTTGGATATTGGACCATAATATGTGAATGTCCAATTTAAAATTTTTAAGTTCTTAGACCACATTCATTCTGTGTCAGAAACCTATGCTGTGTCAAATATTTAATCACAATCCAAATTCAGAGCTGTATCAAGCTTGAATGTTGTGTCCATACTTGCCCCAACTGTTCAGGGTTCGACCTCTGCGGTCGTATCAAGCTGCGTCCTGCGGAGCATTTTATTAATTTTAGTTTCTTGTGTATAATTTGGAGTTTAGTATGACGTCCATTATCACTGAACTAGTATACATATTTGTTTAGGGGCCAGCTGAAGGACGCCTCAGGGTGCGGGAGTTTCTCGCTGCATTGAAGACCCATTGGTGGCCTTTGGCTGTTGTCTGCTCTATGGTCGGGTTTTTGTCTCTTTGACACATTCCCCATTTCCATTCTCAATTTTAATTCTTCTTGTCTGACAACAACTTGTTTTTTTCCCCAAATTGTATGAAATTTTTTGGCAATTTAACAATTGCACTATAACTCTGGGATTTTCTCAAGAATTTATCTGAAGTTTGTACCTAATTCTAGGATTCAAAATAGCACTTTACCTTTTTCAGCAATTCTTATTATTAGTTCTCTTAAGAATAGTCATACCAGATTTAAGTGACATTAATTGTCAAAATCTAGGCAATTTTTCATATCTTACCGAAACTCAAATATGCTTTCACAATCCTGATGAAATTTTTATACACTGTTTTGTTATTTCTATAACATGTCTTAAATCTACAAACAGTGTCCACCTTCTTTGATTTAAGAATAGGCATGTCATGTGCTCATGACATAGCTGTTTATTATTGTATATCTGGGGGGGGGGGGGGGGTGAGGTCTCATTGGGGGGGGGGGGGGGGGGGTCTGATCCTGGATTTCACTTATTGTTTTGTCAGATTCCCATATCCTGCCTGTAATTTCATGTGTCCCGCCTGACTTCGTTTCTCGTTTTCATGCACAATAATTTGACTTCACGAGTCACGCTTACAAAAAAATCCCTCAAATTTTTCAGTTATTTGTCTTTTTATCATAAAAAGCAATTATAAGAATATTGTTACTTATTTATGTTCTAGTTAAGCTGTTAGAAGAGATTAAAGCATTGGAAGAAAATATTTCTAAGAACAGGTATGTGCTACTTGATATTTTTACATATCTTTAATGAAACAGCAACCCGACAACACAAATTAACCAAAATATAAACCTAGAGGTAATCTTGAATGATATACATAGTGGCCCCTTAAATTGCTTTAAGTCTAGACAAGTTTGAAATAATTTTTATCAGATGGCTTAATGTCTTCAACTGTTAAATTCTCAATAGATACAAAAATTTAGAAAAGTGAAAACCCGTAGTAAAATCCTTAAATTTTGTAACAAAAGAAATAATATTGATATTACTAGTATGGACAAAAACTTTGAAAACTTCCCAAATAAATCAAAATTAATCAAGTTAATGTCATCCAAAGATATTATTATAATTAAAAAGGTTGGTTTATTCTTGTGTGCATTATATAATGAAATAACTTTAATACACAGAAGAATACAGAATAGAGTTTAGTCACTGGTAGTTTGTCCATATATATACATATATTTTGTAGGGATATGAAATTTTAGATTTTATATTTGTTTGTCAAAATAATCAATTGTATGTAATTCAACAACATTGTACAGCTCATGACTGGTTGCATACTTGACAATAAAACGTTGTATTGTATTTTATCATATATTGTATTGTATGGAAGGGTAGATGTAATTCTAGATATAACATATGGTGTAGCATTCTTCTTTTTTCATTGGTTATTACGATCATGTGATGCAAAGGTTATTTTACTATATGGGCGCTATGTTTCTATTTATATATATATTGACGGTCAATATTGAAATCTTTCAAAATGTTATGTTTCTATTTATATATATATTGACGGTCAACATAAAAAAATCTTTGCAAAATCCTATGTTTCTATTTATATATATATATTGACAGTCAATATTAAAAATCTTGCAAAATACAATGTAAAATTCACAGAAAGAACATTAAAGTCCATTTCAATGATACACTATTTACTGACCATATGTAATATACAAATAAAGGACTTTCACTCAGTCAATATGGTATATATGAACCTGTTAGATTATACTGAACCTTAGACTTCGTCCTCGGTCAATATAATCTGAACAGGTCCATATATCACATATTGACCTTGTCAAAAGTCCATAATTAATAAATGTCATTCAATTACTTTAGAAGCCAAGAGGTAACTGAAGATAAAGAGATTCAACCAGAACTATTCCAGGAAAGGAATACAGTTCTAACACAAGCATCAAGTGCTGTTACCATGAAGTGTGATAAAGACAGAGGAAGATATCTCCAGGTGAAATAATACGAAATTTCAAAGCATAATGAAACCAAAATATAATGTTATTATTTACAAAATCTATTTTTATTGAAGTAGTAATATAACATCTCTCCCTGTTAAAATAGTATTTCATCTAAACGAATGTGGTAAATAACATGTATAATATTAAGAGAGACCATTTATTATCTTTGTAAACTTTGTCTATATGTTATTGATATTGTTACAAAAAATACTTTTTCAAATTTATGGACCCATTTTTGAAAAGATAGTAGATAATCTTTTTTGGTATTATGTATGTTTTATTTTCTGGGTACTGCTAGGCCACTAGTAAAATACCTGCAGGAAGTGCGATTATTGTAGAGAAACCGTATGCCACAGTATTGTTACCAGACCATTATCAAACACATTGTCATCATTGTATTGGTCAGTTGACTGCTATTTTACCGTAAGTATTAGAGGTAACGCCCTGGACATTTGTCTCACACCAGTATGTTTGCAACTGGATTAATGCATTTTGATTTAAATAAGAGTAATACATGGCTGTAGGCCAGCCAACTTGAGGAGTTGCAACATTTTCTGACTTGTTTACTGAATAATATCTTTCCATCCTTCTGTCTTTTTGTACGTCCATCCCATTTTCGTTTCAAAGCTTGAGTGGGCATTCATGTCCTCTGCACATTCTTTTTTTTATTTCTTTTATGAACTACAGAGAATCATCCAACAACGTCAAAGTAAAAATATATGATGTTATAAATCCCTCAGCAGTAGAAATAATACATACTTTGTATGCAATGCTAATAAAATATGAATTTGTATATCATCCTGACTTTAGTAACCAACTATTTGAAGCATGTATAAGTTATTATTTCACTAGAGTAAGCAGATTTTGATGCATTCTTTGTTGCACTTCAGAAATTTATTCAACAACAAACTGTTTTGTGGTTCATTTTTTTATTTTGCTTATTTATATTTGCATGCATATAAAATGTGTAGCAGTGACATATACTTATGTGGTTTTTAGATTGATTTATTGATTCATGATTTGACTTGTAGTTGTAGGAGATGTAGTAGTGTATTATACTGTAGTGAGACATGCCGACAACAGTCTTGGTCAGTATACCATCAAATAGAATGTCAATATTTAGATATATGTCATTCTGTAAGTATTATTTTACAAATTATGGGAAAACATTTGATTAGACATTTTAAAAGAAAGAAAAAATTTAATAATTTGGTTCATTAGGGTTGAATTTATTTTTGAATTAATTGATAAATAATTTAATGGTAAAAACACGACCTTATGTAAAATGGTCAATATGCAACAGTTATCAGTTGTTTTTAGGATAACTTGGAAACAATATATAATTTATTGTGTAAATAACATTTTTCAAACATAACTCTTTTCCTTTGTAATTATACCCCCACTCTATATTATATTGCAATCAACTAGTCCATCTGTCCAACAAATATTTTCATCACACTTTTCTCTGGTACTATTGAACAGAATGACTTTATTTTTCGAAGCAGCTTGACACTCATGAGTAACATGTGAATGCTTTTGAATATGTCAGACACCAACTTTCTGTTTGCTGATACTTTGAATTTTTAAAGGCAGTGCTTTAATGCCTTTCTAGTTGCCGGGTTAATCCTTCCTTCCGCGATATCCAACTTATCTACGTGGGGGGTCATTAGGCTCCAAGTAGATCCGGAAATGTTGAATTCTCTCCTCTTCTTATTGCGATATAAAATGTTTTTTGTTTCATTTCATTTACATTGGGAAATAGAGAAACGATCATTGTGTTTTGTTAGTTTTAAAAACTTTTGATATATTAGTATTTTGCATTATAAGCAGTCAACCGATTGACAAACTAGTATTATTTGAATTCCGTGTGGAAAGAGCTCGGGTTAATTTCGAGTGTTATCTGCAATCTAGATGTTTATAAATCATTTCAGTCGTTGATATAATAATTAAAGGTCGACTGAACATGAATTATATTATACAATTTAAAGCGCATTTCTGTTTATGCACGTGAACCCGTCTAACGTTATTGTAATTTCGCAGTTATATAAAGTAGCAAATTATCGTTCCTGAATAGGTGGCGCCGTGGTAGCGGATCCTGTTCCTCAACTTCCGGTTTCTGCACTGTGCAACTATTTCAGTTATATTTTTAATTAACGATGCCAAGTACTTGTTGTTGTGTACCTGGATGTCATTTAAGAGGAGGACATGCATTTCCAAATGACTTAAAAAGAAGGAAAAGTTGAATCAACGCCATGGCCCATACGCAGATTGGACGAGAACACGATGATATCGTGGAGTCCATCTCAATCCGCTGTTGTTTGCAAGGCACGTTTTACTGAAAAAGACTACGTGCAGGAAACTATTCATGGTAAAACTCTATTTTCTTTGTGAAATATATAGTTATATATGTAATCGCCATGCGAATAATCCAAAGTCTGTTTACAACCGCAATTATCGTTTTAGAATAAAAGGGGGTGGGTAATTCAAGACGTCATAATTTTTTGGATTACGATTCAATGTGATCTGTTTGAGATTTTTTGGTGATTGCTACAATTATAATGATTTCTTACAAGAGGTATATCATACTGAGAATTATTTTAGCAGTAATTATGCTAATGTAGTAATGACAGGAATGCATAAGCTATGCCTCATAGACTTTCTTGAAAAATATCAATGACAATGTTAACAGGAACAAAATGACATGCTCTCATCTATATTATAGTTATTTAGGTACAAACAATGTACGTTTGTTGCATAAGTCTCATTGTTTGTCCTTTGGATTTACATAACATACATTGAATCAGGCAAACATAGTTTTATCCAGATTGTAATGAATAAATCTAGTTAATATTTCGCCAGGTAGTACAAAGTATACATTGCTAATAGAAGTTCATTTAATTATCAAAAAACTAATGTTTTATAACCTTTTTCAGGGCGCAAACCCACCATACAGAGACTTAAGTCTACTGCCATTCCCAGCCTATTTTCCTGGACCAAGCAAGAGACTGAATCGTCCGCAAAAAGAAAAATCAGGGCAGTTTCCTGTGAAAACAAAAGAACTAAACTTGATGAATATTGTAGTAGAAATCTAGAGGAAAGTTTTGATTGTAAAGTTGGTTTTCCTGAAGAAGTCATTCATACTGCAGAAAGGATTTATGACTGTCCACCACCAACTGCCGAGCTAATGTTGAGCTTCACAGATGGGATTACGCAAACACCATCAATGCCTATGTTTTCAGCAGAGAATTTTGAAATGAAGACACGTGACACAGCCATGCATTTTTATACCGGTTTAGAGTTGTATACTAAATTTTTATTTGTTTTGACCACACTTGGTCCAGCAGCACATTGTTTGAGATACATATATTTTCAAACTGATAGGGTGCCAGTTGAAAATCAATTTTTTTATGACTTTGATGAAATTGAGGCATCATACAACCAACTTTGAACTGTCTAGATTCTAGATTGAATCTAGTGTTAAGAATATTGTGTATACATGGATTGTTTTTATGTCTAAACAGTGGTGTGAGGCTAACACTTGGCCATCTAGATAGTGGTTTAGTCAGGTATTTTTCACCATCCAACTTGAAATTAAAGTTTCCTACGACTTGGATTATTATTGACAGCACAGAATATCCCGTGATAAAACCTAAAGCTCCTAGAGCTCAGGCAACCTTTTCATCAAATAAAAACAGAAACACTGAAAATTCTTGAATTTTCGACACCTGGTGGTTTAGTCAACTATGTCTCTATGTCACATGGTCCGGGTACACAGTTATCGTCCTTTGATTTTGTTGTCCACGAATATAGTCCCTAGTGTGGACAGTGTGTTACTTGTCGATTTTTTTTCTACCCCTTCCAAATTTATTTCTCCCTGTTTTATGACTCAAATAGTAAGTAGGGGGGTGAAATGACACTGTAAAAAAATTGGGTCATGAATTTTAAAGTAAAGTAGTGATTTGGTCCAGCTGAAAAAGGTTAAAAATTAGCACTTCGGAAGCTGTCAAAAGATTTCAAGACCCCCTCAACATAAAATTGTCCATATTTTGAGTTAGAGCCGATGAAGTTTTCTATAATTTTGATATAATTTGTCCCAAAAGTAGTACAACACACTGTAAAAATATTATTGAGAAAGCGCAGGTGGGATTTTTTTAATTTTCATTTATTGTCTAAAAGAAATGCACTACGAAATAACTGTGTACTCGGACCTAAGAGGTGAAATCAGGAAATATAGAATCTGTACTTTGGCAACTTCCCTGAATGATTTGATGGTGTCAATTTATCAAATAGCACAAAACTAAAGGATTTAAACTTTTATTTGATAGAATTTCTGCAAAAATGACCAATTTTGGCATTTTATGGTCAAAATAAGCATTTCATTGCTTTTTCAATTTTGATGCATAAGTGACATTCTGACTTTCTATCTGACAGGTTTTTATGTGTCAATATTTGTGTTTCTATGCTTCAATCCAGTTGTATTACTCACTTGTGAACTCTGAATCTACAGAAAAGAAGATTATCTCGGACAATATGTGCAAAATGTGTTGTATATATGATCCTCGTCTAACGCCCTGTTTGGATCAAGTTAAATGTGAGGAGCTTGGAACATAAAAGTTGAAGTCCTTTATAAAGACCTCACTAAATTTGTATAAAAAGCACTTAACAATGTCTTTTGTACCTGTTTTATGTCACATAATATCTTTCTTTTCTTCTGTAGGATAGCAAGTGGTTCAAATATAAGCCTGTTGAGACTAAAATTGCATGCATGTTTTTCACTAAAAAGTGAAAAATCTTTGTATCAGACCATACTGTCTGCAAAAAAAGTTGAATACAAGAGTCTTTTTGTGCTCAGATTTATTGTATCATGTCACCTGAGTATAGAAATGATAGAAAAGACACAAAATTTTATTTCCTATAGCTTCAATATGCATTTTTAAATGTAAATATGTGATACAGCTTAAATTGACCCTAAATTATTTTCAGTCTCACTTGGCCTAAGACCCTTTTAAACTAATGTGATATGTTATTTGTAAGTTTTCTTTCCATTTAAAGTACATTAAATACATATGTAAGGATTATTTATAACCAAAAAGCTTTACAAATTTAAAATTGCTGGAAAATATTACATCTTCTTGTAAGGTCCCCCTTCATTGGAAAACCTCCATTTTTAGCCACAGGCTCATATAAATTTGACTTTTTAATAATTATGATAAGTCTGATAAATCAAATGAGTACTGTATTGCTTTTAATACATAATATATTATATATTAAGGCATTTCAAAAGTATTTTTTTGCAATATTTTAATTTTTTAAGCCCCAAATGTTGATAGTTGAAAATTTTCAATTTTAACGTCTAAATTTAACACGCAAAGTTGAATATAGAATTAGTCATATTGTCTATAATATATATCCTATTGCCATGAAACTTTGTAAGCAGTCTTATAATTTAATAAGCTTTGGTCATACCAAGTTTCATTAAGATTGGTCAACTTTTTCTACCCTATTAGGTCCGGGTACACAGTTATCGTCCTTTGATTTTCGTTGTCCACGAATATAGTCCCTAGTGTGGACAGTGTGTTACTTGTCGATTTTTTTTCTACCCCTTCCAAATTTATTTATCCCTGTTTTATGACTCAAATAGTAAGTAGGGGGGTGAAATGACACTGTAAAAAAAATTTGGGTCATGAATTTTAAAGTAAAATAGTGATTTGGTCCAGCTGAAAAAGGTTAAAAATTAGCACTTCGGAAGCTGTCAAAAGATTTCAAGACCCCCTCAACATAAAATTGTCCATATTTTGAGTTAGAGCCGATGAAGTTTTCTATAATTTTGATATAATTTGTCCCAAAAGTAGTACAACACACTGTAAAAATATTATTGAGAAAGCGCAGGTGGGATTTTTTTAATTTTCATTTATTGTCTAAAAGAAATGCACTACGAAATAACTGTGTACTCGGACCTAAGATAGAGCGAATTATTGGACTTGGCAAAACATACAAAATTCTAATAAATCCTATGAATGGAACTGAAACAAAACTTTCATCTGAAATAACATTTAGTTGTTTTATGTTGTGTAATTTTAGAACTTGTATTGTGCCAAAGGATGCATAAATAAAAGTGATGCAATGAATTTTGTTCTGATATATATATATATATATTTACAATTACATGCACATGTAAATTGTAATGCATATAAAAATAAGCATAATAAGGAGATGTGGTATGATATTCAGTGAGTTTATCAAACTAAAGTGCATAAGAAATGGGTTTAAGCAGTTACAGGTGTTACTGTCACCGTACAATCTCCAACAATGAGAAAAACTCGTACCCTGTAAAAAATTTCAGAGATCTTACAAGGAAGTTTTGTTGTCTCACCTTGACTTTGGTGAATTTTTTATATCTGTTGATGTAAATATAAAAAAGAAGATGTGGTATGATTGCCAATGAGACAACTCTCCACAAGAGACCAAATGACACAAAAATTAACAGCTATAGGTCACAGTTTGGCCTTCAACAATGAGCAAAGCCCATACCGCACAGTCAGCTATAAAAGGCCCCGAAATGACAATGTAAAACAATTCAAACAAGAAAACTAACGGCCTATTTTATGTAAAATAAATGAACAAATATAACAAATATGCAACACATAAACAAACGACAACCACTGAATTACACTTTTACAGGCTCCTGACGGGACAGGCACATACATGTACATACAGAATGTGGCGGGCTTAAACATGTTAGCGGGATCCCAACCCTCCCCCTAACCTGGGACAGTGGTGTAACAGTACAATATAAGAAAGAACTATAAAAATCAGTTGAAAGAGGCTAAACTCATCAGATGGATAAATACAAATACAAGTGGACGTGGTCGGGTAGTTGTACATCCAAACAACAAAAAGACACTAAGTACAGATCTGAGAGTACTCACAGTTACTGACAGCTAGTTCAAAGCCACTAACAACTGATAAAAAAATCTTGCATCTAAGACTAAATTATCAATCCGTAAGCTCCCTTTAGAATTTTATAAATTTTAGATTTTACATTTCTGAGTTATGGGGTTTTATTCATTAAAAAAGGGGGGATTTTCCAGTTTTTGGACAACAACTCAAAAATGCTTTAAGCAGTTCACATGAAACTTTGGTGAATTATTTATAGCTATTGATGTAATCTCCCTATTGATTTTCATAAATTTCAAATATGACATTGAGAAGAAATTGAACTTTATTTGTTTATAGTCTGGCAACAGATTTATTAAGTATTGCGCAACAGCACAGTGTATTGCACAACAGCAAGAAATCTTTAATTGAATATAAATTCAATTCATATACCCGATTTCAAGTTCATTGACTACATTTATTCAGAAACTATAATATGTCAAATATTTAATTACAATCCAAATTCAAGCTTGAATATTGTGTCCATTTTTGCCCCAGCTGTTCAGGGTTGGACCTCTGCGGGTGTATCCAGCTGCGCTCAGCGAATCAGTTTATTTCTTAATTAAGAACTCCTTTTTTCATTCATAAATTACTTTATGCTTGGAAATATAATTTTGCTTGGAGTTGAAAGAGTTGACATGTTGCAATGTACATTTACTCTACATAGTTCTATGGTACCAAATCAAAAGTTTATATAAAAGAAAGAAGTCAAAGGTTTCCCATCATAGTTTAGTTACATACATTTTTTTTGTACCCGAGGTCGTTGTATATAGATCATTATATAAATAAGGAGATGTGTTATGATTGCCAATGAAAAAACTAAGGATTTTCTTATCCAAGGAATAGATTACCTTAGCCGTATTTGGCACAACTTTTTGGAATTTTGGGTCCTCAATGCTCTTCAACTTTGTACTTGTTTGGCTTTGTTACTATTTTGATCTGATGAGTCTTATGTAGACGAAACAAACGTCTGGCATATTAAATTATAATCCTGGTACCTTTGATAACTAATTTGACTATAAACATAGATAAAAAAGGTACAAACTGGACATAATGCACTAGTTCATAAACAAGTGAGAACAATCGCCTTTATATAGTGCTCAGAATATGACATTCATAAAACTTGTTCAATATCATTAGAGAACTCTAAATCTTAAATACTGAAAGCCACCTCTGATAAGTACACTGTACTATGCAAGATAATGATATAACTGGACTAATAATACACACAACCTGTAATTAACTGCCTTTACAGCGCTTTCGCACTTTGATTTCAATATGTTGACAAATATTTATGTCACACTTTTTCACATACTTCGAATTATTAGTGGGGGTATGCTTTACCACAATGTGTGCAACTTTTAGACTAGGATAAATCATGTGAGAATTAAACTTTTCACCATCCTAGTATGTCTCTTTAAGAACACCACTTAGTTTTAGACACTGTGATCTTACAAACTGTGTATACCCTTTTCACTCTGTTTTAGATAGATATGTTAGAATTATACTTATCACTTTGATTATACCCCACGTTATAGTTGCGGAGGGTATAATGTTTTTGACCCATCCGTCTGTCTGTCCGTCCGTCTGTCCGTCCTTCAGTCCGTCAGTCCTATTTCTTGTCATCGCAACTCCTCTCAAACCACACTACAGAATTTCATGAAACCTTTTTAGATAATAAGGACATACTATGTAGTTGTGCATATCGACAGGAAATTACGATTCAGTTTTTTTTCTAGGAGATACGCCCCTTTGAACTTATTTACTTTAATGTACTACTGCAACCTTTTGTCATCGCAACTCCTCTCAAACCACACAACAGAATTTCATGAAACCTTTTCAGATAATAAGGACATACAACGTAGATGTGCATATCGACAGGAAATTACAATTCATTTTTTTTTCCAGGAGTTACGCCCCTTTGAACTTATTTGCCAAATATACTACTGCAACTTTTTGTCATCGCAACTCCTCTCAAACCACACAACAGAATTTCATGAAACCTTTTCAGATAATAAGGACATACTACGTAGATGTGCATATCGACAGGAAATTACGATTCAATTTTTTTTCCAGGAGTTACGCCCCTTTCAACTTATTTGCCCAATATACTACTGCAACCTTTTGTCATCGCAACTCCTCTCAAACCACACAACAGAATTTCATGAAACCTTTTCAGATAATAAGGACATACTACGTAGATGTGCATATCGACAGGAAATTACGATTCAATTTTTTCTCCAGGAGTTACGCCCCTTTCAACTTATTTGCCCAATATACTACTGCAACCTTTTGTCATCGCAACTCCTCTCGAACCACACAACAGAATTTCATGAAACCTTTTCAGATAATAAGGACATACTACGTAGATGTGCATATCGACAGGAAATTATGATTCAATTTTTTTTCCATGAGTTACACCCCTTTGAACTTATTTGCCCAATATACTACTGCAACCTTTTGTCATCGCAACTCCTCTCAAACCACACAACAGAATTTCATGAAACCTTTTCAGATAATAAGGACATACTACGTAGATGTGCATATCGACAGGAAATTACGATTCAATTTTTTCTCCAGGAGTTACGCCCCTTTCAACTTATTTGCCCAATATACTACTGCAACCTTTTGTCATCGCAACTCCTCTCGAACCACACAACAGAATTTCATGAAACCTTTTCAGATAATAAGGACATACTACGTAGATGTGCATATCGACAGGAAATTATGATTCAATTTTTTTTCCAGGAGTTACACCCCTTTGAACTTATTTGCCCAATATACTACTGCAACCTTTTGTCATCGCAACTCCTCTCAAACCACACAACAGAATTTCATGAAACTGTGTAGATAATAAGGACATACTATGTAGATGTGCATATTGACAGGAAATTACGATTCAATTTTTTCTCCAGGAGTTACGCCCCTTTCAACTTATTTGCCCAATATACTACTGCAACCTTTTGTCATCGCAACTCCTCTCGAACCACACAACAGAATTTCATGAAACCTTTTCAGATAATAAGGACATACTACGTAGATGTGCATATCGACAGGAAATTATGATTCAATTTTTTTTCCAGGAGTTACACCCCTTTGAACTTATTTGCCCAATATACTACTGCAACCTTTTGTCATCGCAACTCCTCTCAAACCACACAACAGAATTTCATGAAACTGTGTAGATAATAAGGACATACTATGTAGATGTGCATATTGACAGGAAATTATGATTCAATTTTTTTTTCTGATACAATTTTTTTTCTTACACTTATTTTATTTCTCCAATGACAATGTGGGGACGTGGGGTATGTGAGCGCGCTCACTAAGGTTCTTTAATTTTAATAGTGATATTTCACTACAAATTTAACCTTCAATCTGTTTTGGATAGTGATATTTCACTACAAATTTTTACTTTCAATATGTTTTGGATGGATATATTTTGTTTTAACTTTGTTTCAGATAGGTATAGCTCATTTAAGTTTAAGAATTGTTCTTACAGCAGGACATCAGTATTTACTTGGTAAGTATAGGGTGTATGTACTGTAAACATTGCATATTTTCGTGGGTTGCCATTGTTTTAATTGTAATGCATAGACATTTTTGCTGGGGTAAAATATATGAATTGAATAAAAAGTGTACCTTCACATCAATATTGTTGATTTGTACAAACTTTAAGTGCAGGGAACATTTTACATTTTAGCAAAATAAATGAAAATATCCCCTGTACTTAAGTTTTAATGTTTTCATTATATGCCGGATGGCTCTTCGATAAACCTAGTTACCAAAAGTGTAGGTGATAATTAGTATCATATAAGGACCTAATGGAAGACCCAAACATTATCCAGTTATGTGTTTATTTCACAGTTGTGGAAGTCATTAAAGCAAATTAAACGATTTAGGGTAACGAAAAAGGAGAATCCTCTACCACTTTGTGTTGATATATCTGTCACTAAATATAAGAAGAAAGCATGATAGTCATTGTTACTGCTAATGTATCCATAGCTTTCATTCCTCCAATATCAAACACATGTGACATGTAAATGATCACTTTCATTTGACGTGACATATTTGTCTTCATCAACATGTAGCCATGCAATTAAAAAAATGATTCTATGTTCATGTCATCCTTATATGTATTTTTTTCCTCTTGAGGAATACTTCTCTTTTTAAAACTACCACAGTATATATTTAAACCTAAAGTACTTGTATATGATAAATATTACCATTTCAGCTACTAATACGTATATGTTTAGCAAAGGTTACAGAGTGATATTTACATTTTGATATACCCGTATCCTATTTTAGATCTGATAACTTCAGATCAAATGTTCATTTTATACAGTAATTTTTTTTAAAAATATACTTTATTTTAAAAATGTCTCTTCATATTTGTAGATTTTAGAGACAAGATTTCAGCATCAGAATTTTACCAGAAAGAAGATAGAATAGGAGGAGTGACAGAAGAAGGAACATACAGCAAAACTTACCTCTCTGTATATGACCTGATGACTCATGCCCTTGACATTGAGACAGCAGATTCATTCCAGTACACCTTGGTAAATAATGAGGAATTAAACTATGTGAATTATATTGTTTCAGTGTTCATAGCTTGGAGTTTCCCAAATATTATATATGAACACAAATTCTTATCAAATGTTCAGTGATAATGCAGTCAATTTATAAGATACTATTTCTGAAAATGATTAAAAGGAGATGTGGGGGTCTATATCAATGAGACAGTATGCTAAAAAGACAACAAATAGCACTAAGGACATCTAGAGGTCAAGTTTGCAAAGGTCTATTGAAGTTATGAAGATGTATTTTTACTTCCATCCTGGTTCTTTTCAGGATCATGTTATGGTATGACTGCTGTAAATTTCATACATGATCTGTTTTATTATTTTGCTGAAACTTCCTGTGTTCACTATAGGTGAAAATATTATAATAATGAAAATTGTATAGTCTCTGTTGTATTAAATCACAACTTTTTTAAACACCAGATATGATTAATTTCCACTTCTTTTATTTGGAACTTGACATACTATATAGGCACCTGATTTTTCTGAAGACAGTTTGTTGACCACTACTTGTTTATGGTCATAAGATAGTATCCAGAAGTAAATTTTGTAAAAAAAAAATCCTGTTTATCCGTATTTTACTTATAAATGGACTTAGTTTTTCTGCCCGTTAACAAAACATTCACTCTGTGGTTAAAGTTTTAAAAATTTTAATAACTTTCTTAAACTATCCTGGATTTGTACCAAACTTTGACAGAAGCTTGTTTATGATCAAAAGCTAGTATCTAGAAGGAAATTTTGTAAAAATGTATTTTAGTTTGTAAATTAGTCTCTTCCTTTTAAAGAATGAATTTTTACCTTAATTACAAGTATGATGAACTTAAAAGGTTTAAAACAGGTGAATCTGAATTGTTAATTGTGATACAATTGCTGTTGCAGATCAGTTTAATTAATATATCAAATTCAAAGGGGACCTTCAATTAATTATGATTTATCTAGAAATTCTAGCCAGTAAAAGTATTTATGAGTTTGAAAAACAGTGATTTTCCAGATAGATAATAAATTGATATAGCCAAATAACATTGTTGCTTTAAAATTTTTATCTGTAAGATCTTAAACATCAGACAACAATTTAACACTAATTTTTATATCATTTTAGACTGCCTTACTTCTTTTGACTATCCTGAAGAAATCTGGTTGGGTGGAGAAGAAGACAGGTGATGACAAAATAAACAATGAAAACACAGATGACATAACAAAGCTACATTTTTCTCAGGATGACTTCTATATTGGAGGACTTTTGCTACGACATATAGAACAACTTGTGTGTAATGCTCATGCCATCACTGAATTACAGGTCACCCAGACATCTGATACTTCATTGGTGGATAGTAAAAGTCAGGAGAGAGTTGCTACAGCAATATATCCCACTACTAGTTTGCTGAACCATTCTTGTAATCCCTCTATTATTCCAGGGTATGGATTATTTATTTATTATTTATTCCATAGTTAATTGGTAATTAGTGTTGCTATCCATATATGAATAAGAAGATGTGGTATGAGTGCCAATGAGACAACTATCCATCCAAGTCACAATGTGTAAAAAGTAAAACAATTATAGGTCAAAGTACGGCCTTCAACTTGGAGCCTTGGCTCACACCGAACAGCAAGCTATAAAGGGCCCCCAAAAAGACTAGTGAAAACATTCTATAAGTACCAGTATTAACTAAAGAAGATACTTTTAGAACTTTTGCATTATTCATATTAAAAATTGCAATGATTTCTTAGCTCTGAAACCTTATGGACTTAAAAGATATGAAACAATAAAGCAAAAGATAGTGATAATAAGAATTTTTTAATGAATATTTCAGTTTTGATAAAGACATGTTAGTGGTGAGAGTGATAAAAGATATAGAAGTGGATGAAGAAATATTCAATTGTTATGGTAAGTGTTATGTATGGACAATCATATGGGGTCTTCATAAAACAGGCAATCTCAATCCAAGATGTCTATAACAGCTTGAAGACTGAACTCACAGAATATAAATTTGATTAAGGTGAATATAGTTTGTTATATAAAAATATTTATCGTTATTTTCCCAAATTTTCCTTTCATCTTTTTATATGAACATTTCACAGGCACTTGTCTCTGGAAAAAAATGTCTATATACCTTAATATAACACAAGGTACTTAACTGGCATTTTTATACGACCGCAAAAATGAAGTTTTTTTTTGGTCGTATATTGGTATCACGTTGTCGTCGTCGTCAGCGTCGTCCGTAGACAGATGGTTTCCGGATAATAACTTTAGTATAAGTAAATAGAAATCAATAAAATTTTAACAGAAGGTTTATAACCACTAAAGGAAGGTTGGGATTGATTTTAGGGGTTATGGTCCTAACTGTTTAGGAATTAGGGGGCAAAAAAGGGGCCCAAATAAGCATTTTTGTAGTTTCCAGACAATAACTTGTGTTAAAGTGTATGAATCTCTCTGAAATTATACCACAAGTTTCCATACTACAAAGGGATGGTTAGGATTGACTTTGGGGGGGCTATGGCTCAAACCATTTAGGAATTGGGGGCAAAAAAAGGGGAAAAACAAGGGTTTTTCTGGTTAAAGAACAATTGAGACAATTTAAAAGCAGTGTAAAGGAGGTAATCCAAATCAAAATCCAAATCAATTTAAATAACAATGTTTGATTACCTCCCTTACACTGCTTGTAAATTATGTATTAAGAAATGATGATTGTCTGAGATACTGACCATAACTTGAGGAAAAGAATTATTTTTTTGAATAAGGGAAAGGGGGGAGGTGAAAAAAATTGGAGGGGGACAATTTTTCTCATTTCAGATTTCAGAAATTAAAAGAAAATTTCTTCAAATTATTTTTTTTGGGGGGGTTAATATTCAGCAGCATAGTGTATTGCACAAATGGAAAAAAACGGGGTAAAATTTATTTTTTTTTTGGAGGGGGGGGGTCAATTCACATAGTGTATTGCACAAAAGCAAAGAATTGAATATAAATTCAAATCATATAACCAATTTGAAGTCCTTTGACTACAGTTATTCTGTGTCAGAAACCTATTATGTGTCAAAAATTTAATTACAATCCAAATTCAGACCTGTATCAAGCGTGAATATTGTGTCCATTTTGGCCCCAACTTTTCAGGGCTGGACATCTGCGGTCGTATCCAGCTGTGCTCAGCGAAGCAATTTATTGAATAATGTCACCCGGTCGCAAACTTCCGTTATATTTTGATTTCTTGGTTGTCAACCCCACTAAAACTTGTTATGGCGTAAATCTAAATTGATTTATCTACACAATGGTGTATAACATGCCTACCATTGTTGTCGGAATCATTCGTAGCAACTTGCCTTCTCTATTTTTCCAAAATTTGCAAAACATATCAACACTTGCTTTTCTTTTATTAACCGGATTTTCGAAGAAAATATCGGTTATTAAAATGGTGATGTACGGCGGGCGGCTTGGCAGATCTACGTGCGGCTGCCAAACATTGTCAGCACAATTACATGAAAATGCTTTAACAAATTTTTTTAAAATTTAAATATGTTGTTTCCTGGGACTTAATGAAGGTCTAGTTCAATTTTCAAGATTTTAGTATATCTCCTTTGTGAGTTATCGCCATTTTTAATAGTTATGAACTATTTCAAGTAAAAGCAGGACCTGGAATTTAGGTTGTGGACCTTTCAGTTTGGAGTGTCAAAGGTCCTGGACTGTCCAGTACCAAATGTTAATTTTAACCCCTGCATTCACAGTAAAGCGATTTTGACGTGTATTGCAATTCCAAGTAGAATTTACTTTTGGACATTAAACATTTCGAATGCGTATTAAACTAATTCAAATCAGTTAATAATGTGATTCGAATTATGTGTAAACGCAGCATTGATATATCTAAGAAATGAAGAATATTAAAAAAAGATGGACAAAATATTTGTATTAAATTTGTTGCAATTTTTGTCTTGCCTTGACAGAATCAAAAAGTGAGACATAAATATGTATATAGGCATGCTGTTTTGGCGGAATCAACAATGTATTTGTTTGTGATTTTGTGATAAGGTCTGGTTTCTGGTAGGTCAATGACATTTGCATTGGTAAGTAGTTGTGTTAGCATAGGCACATCTCATTACCATAGAGAATATTTGGCCCACCCCCTTAGTCATGGTCTATTGACTTTGAAACTTTGCATAGTTTACATGTATATGTTTGTGATTAGGTCAGTTTAGGGGGAACCACTAGTGGTAGGTCAATGATATTTGGTGTGCAGTTGTATAAACTTTTTCATTTCTAATTTCCATTGAGATTATTTGGCCCCGCCCCCTCAATCATGCTCATTTTACTTGGAAACTTATGTTACTTTGAAATTTCATTTATTAGTTTTTGATTAGGTTAGTATTAGGGAAACCAATAGTGGTAGGTCAATGATAATTGGCATGTAGGTGTAGAAGCATTAGTACGTCTCATTTCCATAGAGGATATTTGGTCCTCACCCCTCAGTCATATGCATGATCTATTGACTTTGAAACTTTTACTTAGTTTACATGAATGAGTTTGTGATTATTATGATTATGTCAGTTTAAAATTACCAGTAATCTTAAGTCAAAGCTATTTGGTATGCGAACGTATTGGTATTCAAAAGTTTCATTTCCATGGATATTATATAACCCCACCCCCTCATTATGGTTCATTGACTTAGAAATTGAATTTGTGTTAAGGTTTGTTTAAAGGGAACGACTTATGAAAAGTCAATGGTATTTGGTTTGCAGTTGTACAAGCATTAATGGCACCTTTCATTTCCATAGAGATTGTTTAGCCCTGTACCTTCAGTCATGGTTCATTGACTTTGAATATCACTTACATGTTAAAGTATTACTATTTTAAGTGTAACATTTGCATTATCAAAATAACAAATAGGCAAAACATATCGTTGTGTTAATAGCTTATTATAGATTAGACATGTGTAATTATTATAAAAATAAGGAGATGTGGTATGATTGCAAATGAGACAACTATCCACCAAAATTCAAATGAAGTGGATGTAAGCAATTACAGGCAACCGTACAGCCTTCAAAAATATATGTTGCATCATTGCTAGGCCATTATAACAACATCAGCATTTCTTGTAATACTAGTATACAAGAAAATTGCACCATTTCAGATAGTTTCAGGTATGATTTGATAATTGTGCATAGTGGCACCAGCTGATCCAACTAAAAGCGCTAATATGGCATATTCAAACTCTAGTACATAGTGGAATTAAACCATACACCACTGTTGGACACCATAATTGAAATTATTATTCTGAAAAGAATATTCCTCCATGCAGTCTGCAACAATTAGCAAAACCTATACTGCATAGTAAGATATAAACGACCACGAAATGACAAATGTAAAACAATAAAACTAAAGCAGCCTGATTTATGTACAAAACAATTATGAAAAATATGATATACAGCAACAATCAACAATCACCAAATTACTGGAACCTCACTATGGACAGGTACATACAGAATGTGGCGGGTTAAACATGTTAGCTGGCACAAAACTCTCCCCTAACATGGGACAGTGTATGTGCATAATCTCAGACATTAAATCTTTAAAAAATAAATTGGAAATAACTTTTGAAAGTGGTAGGATTGGATAGCAGAAACATTACGGTACAAACATTATTTGATACTTGAGAAATAGCTGAGATATATAGATTCTACCACTGCATCCAGTGTGATACGATATTTATCCACTCGAGACAGTTAAATTTTCAAATTTAAAACGCGAGGCTCGCCGAGCATTTTAAATATTTAAAATTTAACTGTTGAGAGTGGATAAATATCGTATTACACGAGATTTGGTGGTGGAATCTGTTTCTCTAATGATTTTCAAACAATATGCAGGCAAAATTATTCCGTCTTTTCGAATGATCTGTAAAAAGATGTGTTCTTTCTATGTGACGTCATCAGGCATGGTCGCCTTTTTTCATGCCGTCACAATAGGAAATTCAGAGGAAAGCAAGTAAATTCGACGTCATAATCGGATTTTAACCAATGAAGAACTGAGATCAGACGAACCACACGTTGATTAAATTTTTTTTATACAATGGGTGCAGAAAGGGATAAATTGACGAAGAATTAGAGAAAAATATTTTCATCCATTCTTCCATAATATTCATCTTAACTTCTGCCAAGTTTACCTTTGATTTTTTTAATTAACTGCCTATAGCGCCTTTGGTGCTTTGATTAAATATTTTACTCTTGTTATCTTTTTTATGACTAAGCATAATGTCTTAAATCACAATAAAAATTGGGGTGACAGATTTATTTGAAAATTATCTATTTCCTAAGTGGTAATGATTATAAGCTATATTATTAGACATTTTGAAGTTAATTACATTATTAATTATTAATTAGATCTGGGTTATATCTTAGCATATAATATCATTGGAGTGACAGATTTATTCGAAAATTTTCTATTTCCTGACAAGATCTGTAGGACTGTATATATCAAGTTTGAAATTTACTAGAAGGACTGTATAAATGAAATTTGAAATTTACTGTTCATTATAAGACATTTTGTAGATAATTAAGTCTCCCTAAACCATATATATTCTTACCCCCACCCCCTTCAATTTGAGAATGTGCTTTTATCTTGTAAATGGTTGAGATCCCCACCCCTAAACCATATATATTCTTGTATGGGACAAAAAAAACAATCAAATGAAATATTTGGGGAGTCCCCGGGTTCACCCCCATCCCCCTTCTTTTTGAAAACTTGTAAACGGTCAAGATCCCCACCCCAAAACCATATATCTTCTTGTATGGGACAATAAAACAAATCAAATGAATTATAAGGTGAGTCCCCTGGGGTCACCCCCACCCCCCTCCTGTTAAAGAACTTGTAAACGGTCGAGATCCCCACCCCTAAACCATATA